CAGGAAGAGAGAAGCAAAAAGGGAAAGATTTAGGGGCTCATAGTATGAGGGGTTTAATAGTACATTATTTATAAAACAGTTTCTGGCATGATCACATTTTCTCACCTGGTTGACATGAAAGCAAGGTTGATTCTGTAGGCACAAGACAAAGTGATGGTGCCCACTGGGGTACCCACTGTCCCAACACGGACTGTCTGGAAACCTATAAGGTTAAGGAATTATTATCAGTGTCACTGATTATTTATGTTTCATACTTTTCTGTTCTGAGTTACATTGTATTATTTCTATAGTGTTTCTCTTATTCCTTGCAATCTGAACTCCAAAGACACACATAGAACCCATTACAAAACAGCAGCACTAGGTTGCCTTGTTGGCAGGCTTCACCTACAAGACTTCTCATGTTGCTTCCTATCTTGGCCTAAAATATTGCTCTGAAGTGCTACTTGTTCCTGAGTAGATCATGATCTCCTTCACCAGTCCTACCCCTTATCAACATACTGCCATATTCTTTTTCAGTTTTGGATCACTGGAGTCAAAATGGCAAATCACCCTAGATTTTGTCAAAGTACCATGATTATACCTGTCACCTTATGACACGACCCTTCACTGGTAGATCCAGATAAAAAGCATATGTAAACCTCGGACTTAATTTTCTTTATGGCACTTAAGAATAGCAATAAATGGCTAGGCAGTGTGGAAAACAGTTCTACTCTAGTTTGTGTGTATTGCCTAACCATACCTTCACCCAAGCCACTCAGCTGTACTTCACCAAAATATATCCTGCAGGAAAAGGAAAAAAGAAAAGCTATTAGGTTCATTTGGGACATAAGGCTATACATATCGTTATTCCTTATTTACTTTTATGAGTTGAAAGGCTGCAACTACCTTTCCTCTTTAGGAAAAAAAAAAAAAAAAAAAGAAGTGGCTAGAATGCCCATCTCAAAAAAACCTTCCAGCTATTTCATAGGAAGACATGTCATGTAAAAATAAAAAGGAAGAAAAACGTTAGTCTCATCAGAAATTTCTCTTTAAGCTTTTTAAGACTCTGTGGCAAGTCTACAGTTCAGAGTAAAACTGTGAGGTGATATAAACTTCAGGTCAGAGTCTAAAAGCAGATACTCATCACACAACATAAAAGATTAACTGTGCTGTAAAGAGACCTGCTTTTAAGTATATGCCAAACGAGCAACGAAGGCAAAAATGAAGAAATGGCTGGGATCTCTTTTTAAGTTCTCAGCTGTGCAAATGATAACAAACCTGAGATTTAGAACCATCTAAATTAGCTACGCAAACATGTCAAAGACTTTTCTTAAAGCCAAAACCAAAGACTGGAAGATGATAACCATGCACAAGCCAGTCAGATGTGACAGGCTAAAGAGAGTGGAACTCGGGATGAGTAAACTGCAAGAACTACAGGAAGTGGAGCTGAGGATGCACCTTTAAAATGGAATAGCAGGAGAGAGTCTGAATCTATACTGCAAAAGTACGCATTGCAGTTATGTGCAATTTATCAAATACAAGGCCAGATACTGAACAACTGGATGCTAATAAGCAATTTAATGGGTGCTCGCATGCAGAACTTTTGTACTCATCACGGTAGGCAGACAACAATACTTCACAGCCTGTGCTCAGTTTTTCTTTCAATGGCTCAGATGGAGGCTATAAGATGATACATAGCCCCAAGTTCTCTTCTGTCACTGATCAGTAGTAGTTAAATCCAAATAATTTTAATTTATCAGTCATCCCTTTTTACCACATTGATAGCTGCATGGTGCAAGTCTAGAGTCTCTGCTGTTTATATTTCAAGTGGGGAATTTCATACTCTGCTTTACCTGTACAATATTACATATTCATGGCCTTGTTTTCTTGAGAGTCTGTAGGCTGGAGTTACCCTGGTTATAGCAAGCAAAGACTTCAGCAATAGAGACAGCCTGTTGTATACGGTGTATGAAACTTTGATTTCTTTGTCACACCTACAGAACACAAAGGAAAAAAATTAGTCTTTTGTTCCCAAGTAAGTTGTTTGGTTTTGTTTGTTTGTTTGTTTGTTTTTAATCAAAATTAGTCTGGGCCATTGTTTAATGTCAACTTTATTGCCAAAATGATAAAATAAAGCCCCGGTGTGGCTATCTGTTATTGACCAACCAGGTAAAAGCCCTACTTCAATCTAGTCACCTGTTGTAGAAGTAATTCCTGAAAAATGCCATGCAGCCTTCTACTAGACAGGAACATCTTTTCAGTATTAAAAACATTTGTCATTACTGAGTACATGAATTCTTGTATCTGAGAAAGCATACTAGTTGCAACGGAAGAATGAAGAGGGAATAAAATCACTAGTTTATTTTCTTGACACCAATATTAACCAGTTTGACTGCTTCACCGGACAAAGAGGGGACTTCCCTCTGATGTGTCCCAGGCCACACAGCCAATATGTGCTCATTCATCACTGTGGATTGTGCAGTCTTCCCCATTTCATCAGCTAAAACAAACACACACAAAGAAAGTGTGAAGAATGCACTTACTTTTCATTCATTTCTAGACACCAGATTTCCAGCTCCATGGAGTCCCCCTGGATCAGAGAAAGGATGGCAAACAAAGGCTCATTTCAGAACACAAACCTTTTCACACCTCATTAGCCACACCTCTCAATGAAGATGTTTCTCCTGGCTCCCACTTTCTTGTAATGCAACAATAGAAAATGGTGCACTGGAAGTCTCACTGCACAATCAGATCACTGAGAGAATACCTTCTTCAGAACGGCTAAGTTCTTCATGGTCTAAGAAACTAAATTTTGCTGCTCTATCATTTCTGTGTTTGGTCTCAGATACTTGCAGTGAATTCCTTCTGTTAAACAATATATTTCTTTTCACTAGCATACTACCTAACTCCATAAATGAAGGTATTTTCACATTGTCTTGAACTAAAGGGCAGGAGTTCTGGTAGGTGACTTACAATTCAAGTAAAAAAAATGGCATCTATTTTGACTCAGTTCTCACCTCTGAGGTTTTGAGAGATATCTCCACACACATAGACCGTCCAACAGCAGGCAGTTGTCCTGCCAGGGCTTTCTTTGCTTCATGAGTAACCTCCGGTATATCTTTGATTGCCAAATTGAACTGCAGAATGAAAGAGATGATTCAGTTTTTATATTTCTTTGAAAAACTGCCTAATGATACAATACAGATAGACTTGTAGACCCATATATAACATACTAGGTCAGTATCCACTGAAATATTCATGAAACAGAAAATTCCCATATGAGCTCAGGCTTTTCACATTTGCAAACATTTCCTTGACTGACAATTCAAATGTGCTTCTTGATCCTGCCATAAAAATCATGGTCCTTTTCCCTCACTCGAGTCCTATCTTCACCCACAGACCATCCCGAGTCTCTTCAATTTTAATAAAGCCCATTACTAAAAAGTCCTAAATTGCAGGGTTGCAAACTTCTGACAGAAAAGAACTCACCACCCCACCCCCAGAAGATCTTGGAAATGTGCCTTAGCTGGCAGGAGTTGTGGAGAGGTATCATTTATATCTCTGCTCTAATCAGCCCAGAGTGACATGTTGCATGTGAACAACAACAAACTCCCCCCCCAAAACACACCACCAATGAACATAACTGAATATAGCACTTATTCTATGAAGTTATTATAGTCTGCACAAGACTATAACAACTACATTGCCTTCACAAAACACACACATATGCATGCACACACACACAAAAAAACCCCAAACCAACAGCTATGGAGTTGCTTTAAAAACCATGACTTTACCCAGTCAGAGCCCGTTGGGGAGGATGATGATCGGGTACAGATTTTCTCTCCAAGTCGGGCCTGGACAATTACTTGTACCGTCTGGAATAGAAAGCAAAAGATACAAACACATGTTTTCAGCTCAGCAGAGCCCTCAGTTCAGAACCCAAGCTAGACAAATTCCAAGTAAAAAAATAAAAGGGCTGACCAGGATGTAGAGAAGCAGTTTGTTACACTAATCTTCAGGTCTAATCAATTTAAATTAGTACATATAACAGGTAAATATATTTCAGACAGAAAATAATTTTAAGCTGACCTTTCTCTGTAATAACATGAAGTGACTAAGGCAATTTTGCCATCAGGAGTTGCACAGTGTTCAGTAATACTGAAACAAAATTTACAACTATATCTTGAACCTGGACACCTAATCGAAAGTCAAATGAATCTGTATACTTACAACATAGCCGCTGTCAAAGTATCCACTTGCACTCGTACTCAGTGAGGCCAAATTTTATAATTGTGTATCAACATAATTCAAAAGAGCATTCTGGTATTACTGCTTTTAGATGCAACATAAAAACTTAAGATAGACTGAAAAGAAAGAGTGGAGTCCGACAGAAGATGCTACCTAACAGCCGGATGGTTAGATGTGTTGACAGAAGCCCAAAGCCGACAGAGGTGTGAAATGCCTGTAACTGATTCTACAGCAGGACACTTCTGGGGGAAGGAAGAGGTTTTGAAGGTAGAAAAAGGGGGAAAAGATGTTTTTCTAGTTATTCTCAGGAATCTTCTAAATTTGACATCAGCTTTTCTTGCTTTGGTTTTTAGCAAAACCAAAAAAATCCCACAAACCCCAACCTTGTTAATCTAGCCACAACAAGTATGTTTTTTCTTAAACAAGAAAGAAGAAGCATTTGCCCATAGGAGAAAAAGTTACCTTTAAAGCAAAAAATTTGATGAACTTGTCCAGGTCCTTCCTGTCCTGGGAACTGAGATCAGTGTCCATTGCATATGGGAATCTGAAATACAGTACAGGCATGGGAATGAAATCTTCCTTCAGGTTTCTGTTTGGATTTCAATATTTCAAAATATTTTGCCACTAGAAGTTACCTCAAAAGAAATTACAAGCACCAATGGTCTCTGCCTCTCAAAATCCTAATATGCTAAAAACTCTGTGGGGTAAGTGCAAGTTATAAACGCACATGGATAGTTTATCTGGTCAGTGCAATAGGTACTAGAAAAGAAACAAGAAAGGGAGCTCACAATTAAAACTGGGTACACATTCTTCAATTTTGCTAACTTAATTTAAAAAAAAAAAAAACAACAACCAAAAAACCCAAAACCCACAAAAAAATACAACAACAAAAAACCCACAACAAAACACAAACCCCCAAACACCCCAACACCACACTGACTTGATTCTATACCAAGCTATCCATCAGAGATGGCAGTCTCTGCTTCAGAAATAATATATTTTTCAGTTACCAGCACTGGTCAAAACCAAGCCACATTGTTATCTTGAGACTGAAATTCTAAAAACAGTATTCCAGAAGATACTGAAATCTATACAAATCACTGCTGGAACAGGCTACATTGCTTCTTTACCTCCAACAAATAGCACTTGCAGTAAACTTGTACAGCTACAAATTTACCTACAACCAACTGAAAAGATACATTTTTCCAAAGGGATGGACCAAAATTCTGTGATCACTTCTCTTGAAAGCCTTGACAACAAATACTTAGTTCCCACGTTCACACTGCCTTGTTTTTCAAAATACAATTGTTTCTAGCAATACAATGAACTTGCACAGCGCCTGAAGTGAGGCAGGCCAAGGCACTAATCAGGTTTCTGCCATCATCATGTCACACAGTCTGGGATAAATCACAATTTTTCTGTCTCTCAGTTTCTTCACATTTAAGTTAATAATCATATAGAGACCATGGGGAGGAACGCCTTAATCAGCAGTAATTGTACTTTTTGCTGGTAAGCTTTCAAAGTATTAATTCACTCTTAATTCCTGTTGCTGTTTTTGTTTTGAGACAGCTAATTACCCTAAAGCAGCTTGTCAAACATCACGTATTTACGGAACGCATTGCTCATCACAGAAACGTTGGCAGTCTAAGGTCAGTGAGCATGAGGCAGCTGCCATGCAGAAGGTTACTCTACTCAGTGAGTAACTCTACTTTGGTCTTTAAGCAAAGACTGAACTTGCAGCAAGGTACACTACTTACACAAATTAAAGATTAGCAGGACAAAGGGGCTGTTCATACAGAAAATCTCATACAATCATAGAATCATAGAATGCATTGGGCTGGAAGGGACCCCCAATGGTCATCTAGTCCAACCCCACCTGCAGTGAGCAGGGACATCTTTAGCTAGTGCAGGTTGCCCAGAGCCCCATCAAGCCTGATCTTGAATGTCTCCAGGGATGGGGCCTCCACCACCTCTCTGGGCAAACTGTTCCAGTGCTTTACCACCCTTACGGTAAAGAACTTCGTCCTAAAACCATTGCCCCTTGTCCTATTGCTATGTGCCCTTGTAAACAGTCTCTCCCCAGCTTTCCTGTAGGCCCCCCTCAGGTGCCGGAAGCCCGCTACAAGGTCTCCCTGGAGCCTTCTCTTTTCCAGGCTGAACAACCCCAACTCTCTCAGCCTGTCCTCACAGGGGAGGTGCTCCAGCCCCATGATCATTTTTGTGGCCTCCTCTGGACCCGCTCCAACAGGTCCATGTCCTTCTTGTATTGAGGGCTCCAGAGCTGGACGCAGTACTCCGTAATCTTTAATAACTGAGCATGTCTATTTAAAATATCACACTTAATAGCAGTAAATGCCTATTTTAAGTAATGCTTTAGGAGCATCATCCAAGAAGGACTGCCAGATAACAGTACTGCAATTTATAGAGCATTTTATGAAGAAGAGTGCTACTTTCTCAACGACTCGATAAAAAGGAAGCTGGACATCTAATATGGCTGAAAGTTCCTAGTCTACATTCATACTGCATCTCCTATGCTGTACTGTTCTAATTACAAATTATAATTAAATTTGAGAACTAACACCACAAGCAATTCAACATTAGATGCATTATCAAATTATCCTTTGGATATTTTAACCTCCTCATCAGAAGTATTATACTTTCTTTCCCTTGCCTTTACCTCCACTAGGCAGAGATTACAGATCTTTTCTACTGGGAGGGAGGAATCCAAAAGCAACTCAGCACTTAAAGTGCTAGATGTTTAATTGATGCAGCACTTCAACTTAAAAAAAAAAATAAATTTTTAGTATAGACACTTCCCACTACAAAAAAATGCATGAGAACGACTGGTTATTATTCTTTTGACTTAACTAAGTAAAGCACTGTAAGAGTTGAGGGGACCAGAGGTCTACAACAAAACCTGGCTGATATGAGTAATAAAATACTGCATTAAAAAACCACATATTTTTCTCAGCAAAGAGAATGCTGACATTTAAATATCAAAAGAAATCAAATTAGCTTTTAATGTGAAAAGAAGTGAGAGGGCATTTCTATGCAACCCCCAGAGAAAGGTGCATAGAACTATATATCCTGATGTTCCAGGAGAGCTGTCAAAGCACCTCCATTTGCCCTATGCACCTGGAAAATAATTCTGGTATTGACTATTGCTAGACATTTGGGAACTAATGGAAGGCGTAAGGCTCACTGGTCTGTTAGGAAACAAAACAAAGCAGATCATCAGCATGGTTCTCTGTGCAGTATAGGAATTAGTTTTAATGACTATACACCCAAACATCTCTATAGAGAGGAGAGAAACAGCCACCAGAGCCATGTCTTAGATTCAGGGTTCAAAGCATGAGAGCTTCATGGTTTTACCCTACTCCAGCAGAACTGGGATTCTTCCTGCAAGATCTTAATCAATCTGTAACATTCATGAAACATTTGGAGATTCATACTCTTACCTCTCAAGCTCCAAATGCCAGCAACAGTTGACTCACCACAGCCTAAAGTAGAGCAGAAAGTATGAGGCAAGGTTTCCTGTCAGGAATCTGTAATTTCAGGGGGAAACTGGGACATTGGAACTCAGCTCCTGACATGTCTAAGGGCTGTCATCTGATGACCACCATGTCCTCATTTTTGCAGGAGGGCCTCTGGTGATTACCTGAGATCTGCTAAGGCTTAGGACAGTGTTCACCTTTAGAATCATTCTTGATAAGAGTCAAGATGGGCCTAGAATTACAGAAAACATTTTATTTACAAAAATGCCTCAGTACCCTCAGGTTAGCTGCCTGAACAGGAAGGAATTTCTTTAAATTTAGCTACACCAAACTCATTCAACTTCTTAGGTACTGTAGGTTGCAATGCCACCACAGCTCCTTGCTAAGCACCAGTATCTGGGCATATGCTCAGGGAAGATGCTGTCTAATTTTACACTGAGTAACAACTAGAAGGAAATAACATTTCGTCTAGGTTAGAAACCCACAGATGACTGATTCCCTCTCAATCAAGTAACCCCTTAAGTAAACTGATACCACACTGCTTTAGCCTTACACATAGGCTGCTCACAGGTTAAAAACAAGCATCTTGGCCACACGGCTTTTTGCTTTGTTTCCCTCTTCCTGGAATACCCATTTTCATACTATTGCCTTTATTTATATGCCTTTGTCTCCACTTTCTTCTACACAGAAATGCCAGAGACAGATGTTCAAAGAACTGCCACATGTGGCTCTTTTGACTTACTCTTTCACACAGCATTATGAGGCAGAGAAGAATACTAGACTTACCCAAGTTTAACATTTAAGCATTGTGCCTTATACACTCTACTGGTGCTTACACTCTCATTCTCCAAGGAGAAGGACACATCAGTGTGAGCTAATAGCACCCTATTTGCATGATGCAATGAACTGCAAGAGCCCTTCCCTTCATGCCTTGGTACAGTCCAGAGAAACTACAGCTACCAGCATGCCATGCTCCAGTCTGGCAGCAGCAGGCCCGCTGCCTGCAGATACCTGTAACCCGGACAACCAAGAGGGACACAGTAACAGTTGTGAATAGTTGCATTACAGTACATTTTTCATAGGTCGGAATTTAGCGTCTATGTCAGTTTGACACTCACATGCATAAACAGGAAAGGAGCAGAAGCACCTGACACATACCAGGCATTATTACTGCTGCTGGGGAAAGTGTATACAGGCTGCTTCCATCACCTCCCTCTGAGATTTCACTCAGAGTCATGGCTGCTAAAACTTAAAGTCACCGTGCCTTCCTTTCAAATAGATATTTGCCAGCGCAAAATAATTACTCATGGTTCCTATCCCAGAGAGAAATTAAAAAGACCAGAGGGAAGGAACAAGAAGGACTGTCGTTGCAGGGAGAGGGCTGTGGACAGCTCACATCCCAGCTGTATGTTCCCAGTCACCTGACTGTACCCCCCAGACCGGGCTCCTTGTCCCTTCCAGAGCTTCTTTGTTAATACAGGATGCAAATCCAATCTCTGAGGATATTCTACATGAAGCCCCAGAAAAGCCTCATTGAATCATGAAGGTAAACAAGAAGCACAGGGAACTTTCGGAAGCTTTTAATAGAGTGCCTTTGATAAACAAGCTTGGTTGCCAAGAAAGCTTTCCTAGAACATCTCCTTCAATAAGCAAGAAACTTCACTGCAAGCAGGTATTTTGAGCACATTAATAAGCAACTATAAAAAGATCCCCATAAAGACAGTGCTTTGTTTCAGGACTAGGCCTACAAGTCAAACTCCAGTATTCTACAATTACTTAAAATTAATGTACCTTTCGGCTTCTTAGTAGGTTAGTCAGAAATCTGAGGAGAGAGAGGGAACAGTTCTAAATTTTAAGGTGTGCCATTCTCACTCTTTAGAGTTCATGGATTTTTTAAAGAGAAGACTAGATTCTAGCAGAAAAACTGTTTCACATAATACAAATATTCTGATGAAATCAAAGGCTCCACATTCACTATATGGTTTTCACTGATAAAGAGGCAATTTTTCCTGATGATCAAGAAACAGATTTACTTCA